TCTTTACAGCATGTTCTATATACTTTACAACTAAGAAAGTCTGTGTCAGTACTTGCAACGCAACATCATAACAGTTTCTGGGTTTTTTAAGGCAAGGTACCCAAGAATAAGTTGTACTAAAGTGTGTGTTGTTGGGCAACTAAGTTAATGATCGAGGGCTGAAGTATACATAATTTATCGTAAGCACTCTGAACCAAGATGTAGAAAGGATGTGTCCTAGAGAAAACATGAAGGGGTCAAACTAATAAAGGGTATGGCTCTCATTTTTCTAAGGAAAAAAACTGGTTATTTGTATGACTACACATATCAGGGGAAACTACATAAAATAGAATTTGAGTGAAATGACAGGATGGCTTTAAATCAGGAGTTATGGCCTACCCTCGATAGTAAGGGCCTATATCATGCTTAAAAGGGGGGGGGTTGGTTTTGAATTGACGATTTTGGGTGAACTCCAATCACTTGTAAACCTAAAAAAGGGCTTAGGCCTACTCTTTATGTTACAATCATCATCTTTCAGATTTTCTGTCCTGGAACTTGTATTTTGCCTATTATATAACAAAATGGCGTTTTTTTCTCATAACTTCAATTTTGGATGTTTTTTCTCATCTGCTTTTTTATTTTATTTTTGATTCCAATGAAACTTCCAGGGCTTGTTATTCTCACCATAACCTAATTTTACACACGAGGAAAAGCAAATCGATACATTCATAAGTGAGGATGATTATGTAATCGAATTCAGAGGCATGAAAGGGTAGGACACTTATCCATCTCTAACATTTTCAAGATATCCAAGATCCTAACTGTATAAAAGTTTTGTATTGAGTATATCTATTCATGTACCAAATGTGAACAAAGTTGGTTGATAAATAAAATAAAAAAACCTTTTTACTTATATGAAAGCTGTTTATTTTCAATATGGCGGTCGTTACAATGGCAACCGTAGACTTAAACCAAAAAAACTAAAGTTGCATATTAGAGATGTTTTCCTGTCATACCTCCATGCTATAAGGCTTTATCTAAAAGGTCATAGTTACCGAGATAGGTTTATAAACCACCACCCCCCCCCCTTATGTCCAGCTGGTGGATTTTTTCTGTTGTTGTTTTTAGGGGAAGGGGGTTTGATGGGGAGGTGTGTTTCTGATGTTTTGTTGTTTTGTGTTGGGTCTTTGGTTGCATTTTCTCGAAAAAAAAACTAAGGGTGACTTTGACTGTTTATTCGTTTAACTGTAACGGCTTTATTAGTTGCGTGAAACCCTGAATATACGACTGGTGCGTGGGAGAGATCGGACTTTCTCACACTTTTGCCGGTGGTAAACAGAGCTGAAGCAAAGCTGGTCTTTGTTTTCTACTTCTTAACCCACGCAACGGGCACCTAGCCAGAATACAGTGTATTGTCTCTGACTTTCTTTTCATCTCCATTGCTTTATTTCTGTCTTCTCTGTCTTCTCTCTGTCTCTCCCTCCAACCTTTCTCTGTCTCTCTGTCTCTCTGTCTCTCTGTCTCTCTCTATCTCTCTCTGTCTCTCTCTCTGTCTCTCTCTCTCTTTCTCTTTCGCTCTCTCGCTCTCTTTCTCTCTCCCCCTC